TGAAGATTTATTATCGTACTCATAGTGCTACACATGCGAGACATGACAAGGGAGCGGACAAATCACAAGTAATGTGGAATATGATGCAAGCTTCCGATCATGATGAATTACAGAAGCAGGACTCGAAAATCACGAAAGGCAGCAGGCAACAACCTATAGATAGAAGATATATACATATATCAAATATTAGATGACCTGAATTCCAAGACACTATGTAACGACGGCAATTAGATTCATATGCTCGTGAAAGAAGAATGACATCAAATCAGCAATCAAACAATTTCATAATGCTCAAAGTTCAAGAAAAAAGCAAAGTTGAGCGATTAAATTCATGAAAGATACGAAAATTCGCCAGCAGAATTCTCCTTGTATTGTGATGCCATTTGCTCACTGGCAAATTGAACGTACTGCTCGTGTTGTTCTGGAAAGATGCAAAATGAGACTGACAGAGGGAAATCCAAATTGATGTAAACATACCATCCAATTTTTGGTTCAATGCAATTTCATACTCGTATCGAAGGCGCATTTCCTGTTCTTTGAGGAGACGCTCGCAGATCATCCGCACCTCAAAGTGAACAAGTGATCATCTTAGCAGAGTACAAAGATAGTAAGACTCACCTGTTTCAGACTAAACTGCGGTTTCTCTGCTAGCGCTTGATAACTAGTACTACTCTTTCGAATGCTTGTACTTTCACCATCAGAATCGGATCCAGACTGAAAATGAAAATGAGAATCACTCAACAGGAGATTAAGAAGATTGCAATCAGACCACCAAGAGCACGTGAAAAAATTCCATCGCCTGAGCTAATTCATCTTATTACTAAAGCTTGAGTAGCGAAAGAAATTTGCAAGAATAAAAAGTATACTCGTGCAAGACAAGACTTTCCTGTTACCATAAATCAGTCTAACTCTTAACCTCACATTGAATACGTGATAATGAAGACAGACTCTCATAATAAAGCCCAAGTGTTCGGATTATTTCAATCAGATTTTGTAGTATGAAATTTTCAAAAAGCACGAAATCCATTTCAAAGGGTGGAGGACTATATGTCGCCGAGATTGGGTCCCGGTCCTGCGCGGACATTCAGCAGATACTCAGCCTGTGCATGTATTGGAGTGCGT